TTTATAAAATGTTAGCAATACATTTACATATTGAAAGGAATGACATTCATTGGATATGCTCCCCTGTTGTTGTGAGTATGGCTCCCAATTGCTTCGAACGCAACTCTACTGTGGCCCGCATGGCATCCTGGGGTGCCTCTTCGAAACTTTGCTGAGAAAAGGCTTCGGCTCATTCATGTGGATGCAGTATTTCGCGCAGGCTCTGCCCTATAGCCCAAATATGTATAATGATCCAGCCCGTTGAAATCAACGGATTCGGCTCATCCATGTGGAAACCCCTGTCCAGACCATGAAAAAGGTTCGGCTGCTGCTTGTGGCGAATATTCCTCTTCACTCTCACTGACTTCCTCAAGACCTCATGCGGGCATCCTCGAAGTTTGAAGATTGTAGCTCCGCTCCATGTGAGGAATTTTGTCGTCGATGAAAACGGTGCCCGCATAATCCCCATTTTCGGCCCTCACCACCAGCCTTTTGAACTTTTTGTCTCTGCTGCGACCCACGCGTTGTGTTAAGAAACTCAGCGTTCTGGTCATCTTTCTCGAGCCAATCCGGGTATTGCAGCCGTTTTGCTTCTTCATGTTTTTCCTAAGATCCAAGATCTCACACAATGAAGACTATTTTAATTGGACTCCCCGTTAGTACACGGTAGGCCGTTGAGCGGTTGAAAATTCAAAGAACTGCGATGCTCATCACCGGATGTCCGACCTAGCTGTGTGAGAGGTTAGGCACTCTGTTGAAGTTTAGGCGCACCATGAGATGCAGGCCGAACGGTAAGCCGTGGAATTTGGCATGGTCATTGACAAGAGGATAGAGGATTGAAAGGTCTGCCAATCTCGGAAGAAAAGCTATAAACACTTACAGAATTTTAGCTCAAATTTTGTTGTAATTGTTTATTACACAGGTTTACCTGTGTGGTAAGAAAAACATATTAAAAAAATCCTCAAAAACACATATCAAAAATCAAACACACACGAGACAACATACAAACATAAGCAATGCAACTTGAGAGAAATGACATGAGGAATGATGAATTAAGTTTTGAGATACTTATTGAGATACTTGTCTAAAGCGGCTTTGAAGGAACTAAGTTTGGAGGTGGATACTCCCAAACGGACCAGTCTGTTGAACTCCATGATGGTCCTATTCACGAAGAAATGCCGTCTGACATTACGCTTTGCTCGGCATGCGACTAGCTTCATAGGCCCACCCCTAGTGATTGATTCTCTAACTAGAAATAGATTATCATGTCGAAGCGCACAACGATAGTGAATAATCTTGAAAAGCATTATAAGATCAAACTTTTTCCTTCTGAAATCTAAAGGCTCAAGATCGAGATTGACATTACGTGCTTCACAGTTCGGTATTTGATCATACCTAAAACCTACGGCCCTCAGAAAAACTTTTCTTGTAAACGTGTTCTGCACTCTTTCTAATACCTTGATGCTTTTATATTCTTATGTGGTAATATATCCCGCAGTCCCGTGCTCTAGAATAGTCGGAAGAAAGGCTGTCACCACTACAGAATTTTAGCTCAAAATTTGGTGCATTATTTATGGGGCACCCTGTATATCAAAACATTTCCATTTACTACAGATCATGCGAATTTCCAGACAGGGCGCGTACTGGTCTTCTTCATTCTATCAGCACCAACCTCTCCTCATGAGCTGTACATGTTGCGCAGAGAACAGAAGAAGCACAATGATCTCATAGTGACTGACCTCCCAGAAACGTACGACAATCTCGTCTTCAAGTGCAGCCTTCTTCGTTAAAAATGTATACCTTCGCGCCCTGCCCTCGTATTTTGCGCAGCGTAGAGTCACGAACCTTTACTTCTGTTTTTCACACTGATTTGCTTCCTTTTCTTCTGCCACTCCTTCCAACCTCCTATCACTATTCCATCTTGACTGGATTACCGCAGTATTTCATGCTGAACTGCCTTGAGTTTCTCGGAGATAAAAGTTCCAGTCAACGCGTCCTTGCTGCATGTATTCTTTTTCAATACCTTTATCAGAAGTAGAAACCTTCTGCCGAAAGCACCATTATACTAAGGTATACGCCTCGATGGTATTTCATCAGCAGTACTGTCCAAAGGCGCAGTTTCTAATGAAGGTCGACGACGATGTTGTTGTTCATTTTGATCGCATGATCGATCTATGGAAAATGGACAAGAAGGCGAACATGTCGATTTATTGCAAAGTTTGGTATGTAGCCAAACCGCAACGGAATCCAGAAAAGAAATGGTATGTTTGGATTTTCTTACCATCATTTGCACTGAAATTGAAGGAAAGAAGCCGGTAAAGAGGATATCATCAAAACAGTATATATATACATATATGTGTACTACAGGGTGGCTACTAAATATTGGCGCATGGTTTATTGATCATATTTCCAAAAAGAGAAGCTATCATATCTTCAGAAGTTTATTTTCATATACAATAAAACATGAAATTTATTACCCAAAGAAAGTGCTCGAGATGGCCTCCTTTGGTAGCGATACAGGCTTGAAGTCTCTTTTCAACTGACATCACCGTGGGCCGCAAGTAGCCGACGTCGGCGTGATGTGAGTAGATCTTCAGACCAGAAGTGGCGCACGATTTGCAAAACGACAGGCAGTTGTTGGATCTGGCTAGCAGACATTCTGCTCGACCTTGTGTACACACAAGGAACCGTTTTTCAAATTTGTCATGGTTTGGGCAGGAATTACTTCGAACCATGACACCGCTTGTCTTTGTGGATGAATACATCAAAGCCAGCGCCCAGATCTACCCGGAAACAATTTTCACGTAATGCCCTTCTTTCCAAGGACTCTTTTGACCTTCAGCGAACGTCATTGCATTCTTCAGCAAGACAGGGCGCCTCCACATGCCGCAAAATCAATGTTGGAGAACTGTGACCGTCATTTTCCAAGTTACCAGGCACAAAATGTTTGGCCATCTAAGTCGCCCGATTTGAACC